TTCTCCACTCTTCATTGTGATTGTGTGACGGGAAAACTAACCGATTGTAAGAAAGCAGTTAAAAGCTGTGACATAAACACGACGACGACCTTCCTCACCACGTCCATAAACACATCAGGATCATTTATTAAAATGAAATGACTGGTCTAATCTCCCAGAATGTGGATCTGTCAGCTGGGTTATTATTATAATTAAAATAATGGTTTGTGTGAATCTCTTGACTGTAAAATTCTGATTAAATGTTTGCAAAAAGTGCTTAGTAACTTTGACTGTAAAATAATATTCCTGGACCAAAGTATCGATGTGTTTACTTTGGAGTATTGTTCTCCATGACTCTGTATGAATTGCACTCTCTATTCCTATACAAGTGGTTGTTCTTGTTTTACCAGAACCAGATGAAAGGAGAGTAAAGGGATTTTTTTAACATGATCACAGGTGAGGCAGAGGACCAAAAAAAGAACGTTAAGCTTTTAATAGTTGGTGTTGGTAGTCAGAGGGCAGAATTCAGTAACACAACCCAGATTTCTTTTGTTGACTTAATACAAGCTCACACGCACCCTGCCTAGAGGCATTTTGTACTCAAATAAGAAGAGAAATTAACCAACCCATAAAATTGAAGTAGAGATAATCACAGCAGCTGAATCATCTGTATCAGACTCCAAGAGGCTTCATCTCTGGATTCCCTTTTGCGCCATTTGTTAAGAATCTGTACCCTGACCTGTAACATTAGTCCAAGGTTTGGTCCTCGAGGGCCGCAATGCTAAATACTTTACTCGTTTCCCTGCTCTAACACACCTGATTAAGTGATTTAACCACCTCTTCAAGTTTTGCAGAAGTTGGTAATGACTTATTCATTCAAACGATGTAGCAGAGAAACAAACAAAACATGGAGGATAGCGACCCTTGAGGATCAGGATTGCTCAACCGCCCTGGATTTGTCTCACTGTCATCGATTTGTGGAAAAGTAACCCTGGTTGCCAACCACTGTCTGCTTAAAGGCACACTGTGTAGGATTTGTTGTTTTCAGCGACATCTAGTGGTTGAGTGGTTGAATCATCCTCCCTGGTCCTCCCCCCATCCCCACCCCCTGCTTCCAACGCAAAGGAGTTGCTACGGTGTCTCTCAGGTGTCAAAAACCATTGATAATTCCAACCGCGATGTCCACCAGCAGCTTCAGGGCTAGTGATGTTTCAAGTGGTAAGATTATGAGCTTTAATAAGTAAAATTATCCCAGCTACAATGACAGACAACAAATATTACATTTATAGTATTACAACTAAAACCGTTTTTGACGCCGCCGCCGCAGTTTGTCCTTCATGAGCCTTCGTAGACAAGATGGCGGTGCAAGATGGCAGCTGCCTGTGTGGCGACCCGTGACCATGGAGATATAAACAGCTTTTTATAAAGGTAAAAATAATAAAACAAGGTCTCTGTCTGCAATGATTAGACATGTTTTTTATTATTGTCATTAGTGATTATCTCAATTTTGGCTAAAAGACTTGACAAAATCCTACACAGTGTTCCTTTAAGAGCCTCCAAAGCCCTGAGGGTGAAGTACTGTAAACCCAGGGTGTATTTTATGTATTTATCTGTTACTAAATGGGGTCTGACTGAAGATAAGTCCCAAAAGATATAGGGCATTATGGTCAAAAGTAGACCAAACTCATTAGGCCAAAATAATTCAGCCAGTTAAAAGGCAGGCAGTGATTAGCACAGTGTTGCTAATACTTATGCATCAAACAGGCAGATTTATTTTTGCCATTTAACTTTAACATTTAAACAAAGTCTTCATAAATCCCCCATTTATTTTACAGTAAAGCAGAAGTATGTTAGTGGGTTTTCGTTTATCTTATCAGCTCTTAATATTGGATTAAAAATAGTGAGAGCATAGAATAAATAACCTCCACCAATGTCAAGGCAAGCAGGTTATACTGTTAAGATTTCTACTTGAAGAGCTAGTCCCAAGTCCCTCTTTAACTCAATCCTCCTGTCTCTTCTATTCTTTGAGCAGCAAAATGAACAAATGAGAACAGAAGAGCATGCATCTCTGACAGAGCTCACATTCTGTTTGTCTTTCACCCAGAGAGCTAAGAATGCAAAAGGCATTAGGTTAACTTAGAATAAATAACTTTGAATGGCTTAGTATAAAAAAAAACATTTTAGAGAAGGTTTATTCAACTAAATTGCTCAGGGGGCATCGGTTATTGAACGTCAACACTTCCAGACATGGGTCAGCTGTTGTCATTACAGGAATTTAATTCATGATTTAAAATGCAGTTTTATTTTAAACGAACACATCAGTGGTCCGGACCGAGCTCACCCCTGAGCGCACAAACATAAACAGGCCTCCTGAACACTCTCTAATGCAGTATCGGGTTTTCTCATGAAACTGATATAGAGGCTGACCTTTGAGCCGGACGAGCATGGTCAAATCAGCAGCAGAGTCGCTGCTGTTTCTTTCTCATACACACTTTTTGCTTTCTGTAGGTATTCACAGGCATCAAGAGACTTCCTGTTTGTTGACATAAGAAACACCTGCTTAAACATAACGTTCCTATAGTGACTGAGTGAATAAAAAGTCTGTACCCTCTGAAATGACATGTTGACGTGATCATTGGTTACTGTTTTCCTTGAAATCCTTCCTGCCTGTGTGTTTAACATCAGACACAATAGACTGAAAGACTGGGGGATCATCATGTGTTATCTCAGGTGAAAGAAATGAGTGGGGGTTGTGGTGGGAGATCTGAGGAAAGTCCAGCTCTTTTGAAGTCATGCTCTGCAGAAAGGTCATAAATACTTAATATCTTGTTGTGGCTCTTTGAAGATCCTCCTATGGATCATTCAAAAAGCTACAACAGGTAAAATATTCTTTGTTTATAACCTGAGCTAAACTTTCGCTTTAAACTGAAGGAGTTAAAAACAGCAAAAATAAAAGGATTCATCTCCGAGTCTTGTGACCTGCACTGATTTACTTGAACTATTCATCTTATTTGCATTCGGAGCGCAAACGAATCCAAGCTGGATCAACTCCCCGCCGGAGGAGAAAAGTCAATTTAGCAGGAAATGTTTCAGAAGGATTCAAGCAGACAAACATCTGACATGTGAAGAGCTCAATTGGCTTCAAAACATTAATCCAGTTCACCTGCTCTGTCAGGCTAGAACCACAGTGGAGGCTGCTGAAGACAGGAGGGGAAGATTGCACAGAAGAAAACAGCCAAAGAGATTCCATTTTTTGTATGTTTTTTAGCAGAGAGGAGGTAGACTCTTGGAGCTGCAGGATTCCTAAAGGCAGTCCGCACATGCAGAGTCCGTTAGCTGAGGGAGACATTTCCAGCGCAGTGCTCTGCAGCCGAGGGATAAGTTACTGAAATGGATACTTGTGCTCGTGTCCTGCTGTGATTTCTGCAGGTTTTTATGCTTTTGCAAAAAAATATGCACGCTCTATTCTGTCCAGTAATGCGATTTTTTTTTTAGATGTGCATCATGAGCGCCATCCTTGTGCACGTGCGCATGTAAATACA